AAGCTGTAGCTCATCGATCTTGTTGAAATGTTGCTTTAGTGAATTGATTGCTTATCGATAGAGCGATCAAATGAATGGATTTAAATGTATCACCCAACTATATGTTCTGAAATTATCGACATGCTATCATGACCTGATCTTCTTTGATCAAGTTTTGAATCGATCCACTTGAACAGCTCACTATTAGAGAAGGAAGTAATCTAGTAAGTTTTGAATCAATCAGAGTAATCAATCGATTTCAAACGCTTTATTCATCGAACAACAATCACCATTCATTATCACCATATAATAATACGACTGAACAATCTGAGTACGAGTGAATCTATTGTTTAGTTGTCGTGCATCAGTTCATTGATAAGCCTTCTTGAGTCCACGATGCTTGTAAGCCTCATCCAATTTCCTGAAATTTTAAGATTCACACCCGGCTTTTCCTTTTCTCCGATTGCGCATGGAAAATGGTGCAATGTCAATGGCACGCCAGGACCTTCATCTCAATTACGATGTTTTTTTGTTCAAGTTGATAAGGCTCATGTCTATTGGCTGCTCATGATCAAAAATGAATCTTACTTGAATAATCCATAGAAGCTACGTTTCGCCCTCGGATCGTAGCGAGGCGCCATATCGTACTCTGACGGCTCCAGTACTGGCAAGAAACCTTCATCTCGATACAATCCGAACGATGGACTGCTTAGCTGCAATTACTAGCTGATTATATCTCTTTTCTGTTCGAACTAATTCTTTATCGAATGACCCTTATGAATGACCAATTCCCAAAAATGGCTTTTAAATAGCTAACAGATTACTTCTGAAAAGTGATTTTGGAATATCCTCCATAAGCTCACAGATCTGACTGAATTCGATCATTTTATGAGATATTCACTGAATAAATTGATGAAATTCGATATCGTTCTCTTGAAAGTGTTCAAATTTTTTGGTTTTTTATGATCATTTTACACTGTAAAACAAGTGTAAGTTGTTCGTTTCTTTTAAATATACCACGAACTTACATCTTCATAAGAGTACAATGGTAATGATAGAACTGGTGTGAATAAAAGTGTTGAAAAGCACACCAATACTGCTGCTTGTGGGACCATTATGGCGTGTGACGATCTGAAACAAATATAACACAACACTTTCTGATGGAACATAATTTTGACTCGAAACTACGACAATAATAACAATTATAACACTTCTGAAAACAGTGATATTCATCAGCGAAACATGTGATAACCACAATAATAACGATACCAATACTAAAAGTAATATGGACATTGATGATAATTGTAATAGTACTAAAAGGATAATGAATATTAATACTGGATAAATACTAAAACGACATTTTATCGCAGTATCAGATATTTTTATAGCCGTATCAGTAACGATAACAATAATAATGGGGATGTCGG